CAGACAGAGGTTGTTTGAAAATTATGAAGCTGTCTGATTTATGATTGGATCTACAAACCCCAGAAAAAACAGATAATCTGGGCCAAACATCGGTACAGACCATGGTCCCGAAACAAATTCCTCTTCCAATTGTCAAGAGAATCTGAGGTTAATCAGCCCAAAACTCAGTTAGAAGAGTATGTCATGACTCAGAGTGTAGCGGTGCAAAGCAGCTAGCAGGCTGCTCTGGCCAATGGAAAACTCTACATTGCACTAATCCCCCAGTTTTTTACCCATTTTTTTCTGTTTTTTAACCACTGATGTGATTAATTTCTATCTTCTATTGAATGTTGAAACTGAAATAGAAAAAAAAAAATCAAATTTTGGTAATGAAATGAATCAACAGTGTTTGGAATGGAAGTAGATTAAATTGTTTTTAAAAAAATGGATTACACAGCATTATGTATATGTATTTATGTGAGTGTTTATTTTAATAAAATTATATTTATATATCCTCCCCCTCCTGTGCTTGTAGACCAATCCAGAATTTAACATAAACCAGACTTCTTGATCTGATAGAGTGGCACTCAACAGGGAGCAACGCACACACACACACACAGCACACACAGCACACACACACACACACACACACACACACACAGAGACTGTCCGTATGTGCCTGTTGCATACAGTAAACTTACAAAATGCCTCTGGGTTTTGAATACAGGTGGGAAATCAAACCATCACAGAAAATATTTCCATAATATATTTTATTCAAGAACAAGATTACTAACAAAAGCAGCATCAGTTTCTGTCTAAGGTCATTACCGTTTCCTGCACTACATGTGCGAAACAGGCAAAATGCAACATTAGATTTGATTAGACTTGATGGTTTCAATTGGATCAAATCAAATTAAATGCACTGCGTTGGGCTTTAGAGTGCTCAGTCAACAGTAGAGGGTGAAGGAAAGGCTGCAGGCACTGCGCTGACTGGCTCTGATTGATGGTTGCCGAAGATGGGGGAGGAGGAAGGATGAGAGAGGTAGACAGACATACAGAGAGCAAGAGAGGAGAGCTGAGGAGAAGCTGAAGATGACAAAGAAAACTATTTTTTTAATCAGTGTCTAATCTTTGATGTCACTCCTGGTGCTGTGTCTAATGTGGTTCACTTTGCTGTTGTGAAACCTGATCACATCAAAGCATGAAATGGGAAACCAGGTCAGAACACATTAGGTCAAAATGGGACTCAAAACATAATGACCAATCAAACAAATGAGGGATTGGTTAGACCATTCTAGGTTTATTTCTAAATTTGTTAGTGGCATTTAAAACTGGGTTGCAAAGGCTCTATTTTTTTCTGCACCTGTCTTGCAGTGTAGACAAAGGCACCTACGTCAAGACAGACATGCACACAAGGGATTAGAGCCTTGCCAACAAGACAGGACAGAACAGGAAAAAGGGTAGTTTCCCCTCAGGGAATACTATTCATAGACTTGTAAATAAACTCATTAGAATACTAGGAAGTCCACCTCTGCCTGACTGATTTGGATTGGCAGGGAGGTTTGGAGACTGTGTGTGTATATGCGTGTGAGAATCTGTGAAATATTACCCAAAGGTTGGGCTAACTATTCCAACTTCAACTAAAACATTTTCTTTTGCTTAAAAGATTTTGGAAAATTTTGCAAAGTAGCCTTTTTAAAAAGAAGCATTTGATCCTATTAACTATGAGCAGTGGGCAGCTTTGGGCGCGAGGGGGAGAAATTGAATCAAACTTTGCGCTGCCAACTCTGTGGTTTAAATAATAGTTATTTATTTGCTATGTCTTATCACAAATAAAGTGAGTATTGCTTCTGTTGTTTTTGGATGGAGTGCAGAGAGCGAGTCAAGCCCTACAAACATGAAAGTCTGTGACTCTATTGAGTAAGTTGCTGAGTGAGAAATTAAGTCACACCATTGGTTTGGTAGAGTGTTGGTGTTCCTCCAATGGCTACTGCTCTTTCAGAATGAACAGGTGCGAACGTGCCTGGCTGTTCATAACAGCAGTGCAATTCTCCTGGTCAGCAAGTGATCTGATCATTACAATAACCTCAAAATATGTGTTTATGCATAAGCATGGTGTTGCTTCTTCCCAAGAATGAAGTTAAAAGGACCCTCTTGTTAGAGACAAGTAGTACCTTACTGAACTGGTAAACTGGAAATATTCTCTGTACCCTTCATGCTGATGCAATATATTTTGGTTTAAAGAAGCAAAATACAATCAATTGAATGTTACAATAGAAAATCATCAAGCTGCCATCATGCAACATTGAAAAAAACAACAATACTAAGACAACAAAGACGTAAATAGAGAGAAGAAACGCGAGATGACATCTCAAACAGAGACAGGAAAAAGAGGAGAAAAAAAGATGCATTTGAGGCGGTGGAGTGGGTGTTGTTACAATGATTGAGTCTTTTCCTGCCAGATCAGAGGCCTGTCAAAATTCTGAGGGCCCCCCAGGACCCCCTGGAGAGACTGGTTTGTAGGAGAAAGAGGGAATCAGGGGCGGGGAGGTGGGGGTGGTTTGCATGAGGGGAAAAGAAGGAAGTGTGTAAATCTCCCTGAGAGGACTGTAGAAATCTATTTATGAGAAAAAGAGGTGCAAAAAGGCGAGTTATTATTTTTTGTAAATGCAGCGTAAAGGAATGATGAGAAATGTCTTGGATTATAACGTCTGGGCTGTCAGGATGAGAATGTTCAACTTTTTTGCAGGATTATTGATCCTCTCCTCTCCTCTCCTGTACCCCTTTTTTTCCTCATTCTTTTTCTTCTCTGATCTCATCTCCCCCTTTATCTTCTACTTACGTTCCCCCTCTCTTGTCTCCTCTGAGAGATAAACTGCAAATGACCTTGTTTCCCCTCCCTTATCATTTTCTTTGTTTCCTTTGTTGTTACATTTTCAGCAACATCTCATGGCAACTCAAGAGACAAGATGATTGGAAAGGAAACAGAGGAACTGAGGGATGCCATGAAGAGGAAAATAAAGAGAAAAGAAAGCATCTGTCTGACGGCATAGGGGGGTTTCAAAACCCCTCATGGACTTAACACCACATAAGAATGCAGAAAACACCCGCTCAAACAGAAGGAAGTATAAATACACCGGAGAGAGAGTAAAGTCTACCCTCCTTCTCGTTTTCATTTCCCTTCCCCTTTTCAGCTCTATCTTTCATTCTTTTGACCTCCAAATAACCAGGGCTGTGTAGTCTCTTGTTTTTAAAGCACTCAAGGGAGGTGTGAGGAGGATGAGGAGAAGAGCGTGAACAGATACATGTGGGCAGAACAGAGTGGGAGGAATTCAACTCTCACAGTGTTACTGGGACAATTCCCAGGGTGTCACTGGGAGAGGTTTGACTGATATACTGCATAGGACCAATATAAGGCCACATTTTAATGTGTGACCATTTGGTATCTTCTGCTGGGGTGTTATGGATATGATGTAGTTGTAATCAATACTACTCAGGTGGTCTGAGGGAAATTATTAACCTAAATTAATTCAAGTGTGACATTTTGATTTGATTCCAGTCAAGCATGCATGGCTGTCACTCTGAACTCTTCATTGACATTATCAGTGTAGAGTTTTAGTCGCCATCAAAATTCAAACTACCTTATATAATATTGGTATTTGGATAACCTCATTTAAAAGTATTAGTCCAGTTTTCCATACTTCACCATTTACTCAGCTTTCACATTTTCACATTTTTGATTTACTCAACTGATGGATACCCTATGTGTTCCCTGTGTTCTTTAGTAACGTAAACTGGTTTCCTTTCACTCCCATACATTTTTCCCCCCATTTCCATTCCCAGTCTTACCCTACTGGCCAAGATCCACACCAACATACACCTCAGCTCAGTTCCATCTGCGGCCATGGCCCAGTCCCAGTTACTTTCTCCCAAGCCCTTCACCAGGGAACGGGTTAGCTCTTGTCCAGCCCCATTTCCAGCCCAACCCTAACTACTGAAAATTAACCAAAGACCCTTATTCTCCAGACAGAGGTTGTTTGAAAATTAATTACAGAGAGGACTAATTTAATAGATTTGATTTGTTGTTACAGGTTCACAGAGGCTTGTCATTATTCATTTTTCCTTGTATGGCTTGGGGAAAAGGTTTATTGTATAAAAAACCAACAGCATTGTAGCAGTGCATTACTGACCACTGCTTGATGTTGATTAACACTGACATATTTAGAAGGAGTACTAGCTGTATTCTGGTTGCAGCCATTGCCATGTTTTGATGAACACAAAGAAACACATTTTTCAGTTTGATAACAGGATAACCTGTGAACTCATATGTTTTAGACACCCTGTAAATCCAATCAGATTGTCGGTGGCTTCTAACCCTGACTGGGCTCCTGTTGGCCCATAATTAGTCTCTGACAGCCAACCTTGGCCCACTGACCCTAGTCCCTCTCCATCCACATGCAGGGACAATAAACTTTGACCAGGTCCCACCCCTGAAGCCTCCAGATGCTCTACTCCTGTCCCAGGCTTTGGTCTGGGCTTTGTGGAGGAGGGGGTGCTCCATTAGCAGGCCAGGACAGCCCTGAGACAAACGAGGTGTGTGAGGCAGAGTGCAGCTGCTCACGCTGTGCAACTGCCACCAGCACACACACACTCGCAGATACACACATACACGCACAGTTCTCATAAATCACTACAGCCGCCTCCGTCGGCCAGCCTCTGCTCGCCCGGTGTTAAAAGCCAATCAGGGAAATTACATGCAAACTCCAAGGGACCTATTTTCACTTTCTTAAGAAATCATTAGTCAGTGTTATGAGCTTTGACGTCTCCATAATACCACGACCGTCTGCCGCAGACCCAGCGCCTGTCCCCCTCCCTGCACAGAATTGACAACTGTACATGGGCTGCCCTCGTTCCCTAACGGCCCCCTGGGAGAGAATCGTGGTCCCAACAAAGGAACAAAGCATAAGGGTGGGGTAAATGGAGGGGAAAATGCAACATAAGAACAGGGGAAAAATATTAAGGAATATGACATTAGGCTGCATGGAAAAGGGAAAGATGAAATATTTTAATTGAAATTGTTTTAGGGGGAGGATAAGTAACGAACACCCTGCAAACACAGCAAGCAGGAAGGCAATATTTATGTCGAGCTCCTGTAGGGCCTGGTTCCAAAAACAAACAGGAGTACACCAAGGGAGAACCCCTAACCCCCACCCCCCCAACTATATCTCTTCATCTTTTTATTGTCCATTACATTAGTAATGGTGAACTGCGCTTCATTCATGGAAAACAGAACTGCAATTGCCATTATACTGTCCCAATGACTTGTGATCACAGAGCAGGAAGAACACTGACCTACAATAACACATAATGCTGTGCGTGAAAGATACAATGGGAACTACTTCCAGTTTTGGACTGCATGAAGCCAGGTGTGTGTTAGTCAGATACATAGGAAAATACAGCTAGGAAAACAATAGCCACGTTCTAGTCTCCCATTGTCAAGTTCTACACGTGTAACCAGCAGATGAAGGCATGTCACGTTTGCATCATTGCACCACCTGCAGGCTATGTGCGTTTTCTCTTTGTGTGCTGTTTTCTGCACGCACACAACAAACACCAAAAATGAGAATAAATAAAAGGTGCAGAATCTTTCCGATACCTAGAGGTGGTGTTGGCAGTGATTTTGAGGCTACCAGGGTTGCGGATGAGTTTATCCAGGATGCTGACGATCTGTTCAAACTTAGGCCGGTTGTTTCTCTCTTTCTGCCAGCAGTCCAGCATCAGCTGGTAGAGGGTAGCAGGGCAGTCCATGGGTGGGGGGAGGCGGTAACCTTCATCTACAGCCTTTATTACCTGGATATTAGGAGGAAAACACGTTCAGCATCAAAACAACATCTAATATGCTCTACTGGAGTAGTTACTCTTCATTACAACCAGGGTGTTACAAGTATCCTTCTTTAATGTTCAGTATATCATTATGCTCTGATTGGTGGATTACACATATTTACCTTTTTAATATAATACGTTAATATACCAGATTTTTTGAGCTAGTTGTTGCATTGAACTGACCCTTGGAAAAAAAGCTTTTCTGCTTTAATGAATGGGGAAAAATGCACCAAGCCCTTTTATACCCATTCTAAACACACTGTAATTCACCCTCAGGATATGGTCACTGGGCTGAAACAACAACGTTTTTCACTGCTTCGATCTTGATATTTTGAAGATTTAACCCTTACTGTGCCTTACTGCATCTGTGAGATTACATTCCATTGTTTTCCTCTTATGTGCCATAATTCCCTTCACACGACACTGAACATGAATTAAACATTTCACCTGTGTTGCTGGTGCCTTAACTTACTTCCCATCAGTAAAGCTTGCCAAATGTGCAAAGCTGGCAGCACTGCTGCAGTGGTGGGTGCGCCACACTGACGCCCCTACTAAAGGAAGTTAACTTGGCAACATGGCAGTACTCACATCCTGATTGGACATCTCCCAGTATGGCCGTTCCCCATATGACATCACTTCCCAGAGCACAATGCCGTAACTCCAAGCATCACTGGCCGATGTAAACTTCCTGTAGGCAATAGCCTCTGGAGCTGTCCACCGGATAGGGATCTTTCCTCCCTGAGAGAAAATAACATTTATGTCATTCAGTTAGTCTATCAGTCAGTCATTCAATCACTCAATAAATCAAACTAATTTTCTATACTGCATGATGCATATATGTAACATTGGAGGTATTACACAGGTTTATTTTACATACAAAGGTCTACATGTACTGAACAATTCAAACATTCTTATGAAATGTTCTGAGACCTGTTAACCCTAATAGGCTCTGTGGTTTGGACTGGGCATGGTGATCTCAACATCCGATCCAGAACTGTAACAGTTATCTGAAATATTATTATGTGGTGTGGGGGACCTGAAGTGAAACCTTAAAAGAAGATTTTTAATGTCACATTTGCTCTTCCACACATACTGATACTGAACTATCTTTCTTAAAATGTTGGAATTCAAAGTAGTCATATAAAGTGACATTTACCCCTTTTTGTAACAAAAAATAATGTTCATATTCAGTTTTAATAAAAAAGTTTCGGCATTGACATTAAAGAAAGAAAGAAAAACTGAAAAACACATTAATCAAACCATAATCCAAAGTTTCCTACATAACCTCTCACTGTAGTGTCTGCTGCATTTGTCATTCTAGCTGAGAAGCAAGACAAATGAAGAAAATGGAGCTGAGGAAAGGAGGCTGATGGCAGCCAAAGCTAACAGAGACATCAGCCAAGTCACTCAGATCTTGCCTGGTGCTGTGCAGTCACACACATAGCCCTCAAAAGCAATACTTATTTGATTACTTGTACTTATACCGCCCAATCTCTAAAGAAACACTGGGGAATGTATAAAACATAAGACACACAATCACAAATGGTTGCACAAATGAACAAGTGTGCCCACGAAAACCCACAATGCAAACACAAACACATGTACACACACTGCTCTTATGCTCATATTGTACCTACCCGCTATCCTAAGAGGTCAAAGTGCACACCACACACACACACACTGCACTCACATGCACAGACACACACATAAACAAAGCAGAACTATAGATTCTGCATAAAAAGTATAGGCTAAAAAAAAGTTGCTTAAATGGAAATCTGCTAGCATATGTGTGGAGCGTTGTCAGTTACTGTAACATGGCAGAGTTTATTATTCTGTCTTATTATTTTAGATTATGTATTTCTGGGAGAAAGGCAAACGGCACACTGACTGTTTATTTGACAAGCAATTCTCAGCCAGCAAATTATACTATGTTTAAAGGGGCTGCACGCATCAGTCTAGACCACAGGATCCCATGATGAAAATGACCACACACACACACTCTACAAGTACAGATGAATGTATGAGGTGTGGCATGCCTGCTGACAATGTTCAATTTTGTGACATGCGCTTCAAGAAGTGAAACAAATAAAAATTATTTTTGATATTTTCAGTACAAATCTCCTTGAACTGTCATCTGCTTACCTTCAAGGTGTTTTTCTTTTTAAAGTTTCTCTTAAGATGTTACTTTTTGTGTTGCCTATCCATTGTACTAAAAGCATTATGAACACTCAGAAATTTCCCACAATTCAGTTAATGGAAACTCCATTCCTGTCGTGTCAACTGTCATTGTTGTTTAGGTTTTATAGTGTCATCATCCAAAAACTTCGAGAGAGTTTGCAAAGTAAAGATTTTCAAACTGTCTCCCTGCCACATACCATTTTTCAATTACAACAGACCTCTAAAAGTAAGTAAGTTTTGCCATTGAAAGTTTTCACGTTTTCCCGTATGTGCTTATGCTTAGACATTTGTAGCACTGATGATGGAATTCTTTAGGAATAAAACCTAGGCATTAATGTGAATGTTGGGGCGGTGGATGGGTCAACAAAGCATTGACTACACTCACAAATTTCTTGTTGATATAATAAATCCCTTCTGGACACAGGGTTCTTTAAGTGGTATTCTCCGTGACCTCCCCAGTTGGTGAATGTTTGCCATTTCTGTACTGAGATCTAGGGAGGCGAAGCGCTGTGGATTTATGTTGGTTTTATCACAACTCTGCTTTTATTTATGTGTTCTTCTCCCCTGCCATGCTAGAAGAATGAAAGAGGGACGTAGTGTGTGTGTGCTGAGATTACCTTAGGCTACAGAATGTGTGTGAGAGGGAGAGCATGAGAAGTTGATGGATAATGTACATTATTATGAAATCAGTATGCATAAAGACAAGAATGTTGCTGTTTGATATTTTCTGAATGGAAAATTGAATTATTCTGATTTAAAAAGGGAACAGGGGATGCTGTAGACAATTCCAGGGCATACTGTGTACCATATTCCATTACTGTGTTCATGTGTTCATGGACTTTTATGCAACATTCCTGAAATATGTGGTGTGCCCCAGGACAGTGCCCAACATATTCATTCATGCTGTCATTTATGTCCCTAATTGTGTTTTTGTTCCAGCTCACCCTGGTGGTGTAAGCAGCCTCCGGGTCGTCCTCCAGGACTCGGGACAGGCCAAAGTCTGACACTTTACACACCAGATTGCTGTTGACCAGGATGTTTCGAGCT